TTCTTGGTAAATTGTTCATATTATACACTGACCTAGTTGCCATACCCATAATTCATTAGAACTCATCACACTTCTGAAAGCATTCAGTGATTGCACATACTTAAATGTAGGAAACAAACTTAAATAAGGACAAACTTAAAATAACTTTAAGGTCCCTAACTTCAGGTAGTTCTTAAAAAAAAAAAAAAAAAAAAGGAAGAGGGGCGCCTGTCTGGCTCAGCTGGAAAAGCACATGACTCTAAATCTCAGGGTCATGAGTTCAAGCTCCACACTGGGCATAGAGATTACTTAAAAAAAGAGAAAGAGAGAGAGAAACCACACCGTAATTGAACCAAATAATTTGAGATTCCTCTCAAACTTCCCACATTTTTTCACTTTATATTGTAAAACCTGAATAATAAGTCTATAAGAAGTACTTCACACTGTAACAATATTAATTCTTTTTATTGTTGAAATGATTTCAAAATTCCAGAAAAGTTGCAGGAACAGTTCAAAGAACTCCTATATATCTATTAATCAGAGACCCTGATCAGGAACCACCAATTTTTCTAGTAACGTCCTTCATAGCAAAATGACAATACAGTATCGATACGGTATCATCGGCTGCCTTTAGTTATCATGCCTTTTCAGTCTCTGTTAATCCAGAACTATTCCATGATCCTTCCTCGATTTTCATGACTATAACATTTTTTAAGACAACAGGCAAATTATTTTGTAGAGTTAGGGTTGTCTGATGTTTCCCTATACTTAGATTCAGGTTCTGCATGCATTTTTGGCAGAAATATCATGAAAGCAATGCTAATTTCTCTGTTCATCCTATCAGGTGGCACATAATTTCAATTTGGCGATGTTCATTTGATGTTATACTTGAATAAGGTGGTGTCTGCCAGTTTACGGCACTGGAAAGCTATTCCTTTCCCCCTTGTAATTGTCTTTGGTGGAGAGATATTTTGCAATTATGTAAATACGCCATTTGCACCTAACTTTCACCCACAAATTTTAGCCATTATTGACATTTCTTGCCTGAATTAACTATTACTACGAGTGTTGCCTAATGGTGATTTTCTATTTTTTTAATTTCTTCTACATTTAATAGTTGGCATTCTACTATAAAAGAGCCTTTTCTTCTCCTCATTTATTTATCCATTTGTTTGTTAAATCTGCATGGACTCAAGGATATTTATTCAATGGATTATAATCCATTCCTATCACTATTTATTTTGATGTTCAAATTGTTCCCGATTTGCCCAGTGGTTGGCCCTTCAAATGGGCTATGTCCTTTTGACATGCCCCTGTTGTTTTTTGAGTACTTCATTACTTCCTGACATTAAATTATTCTTCCTCCCCATCTTGTAATTTTGCTGGCCCAGCCCTGAAATCAGTCATTTTTTCTAAGACCCCTTCTAACTATTAATGAGAAATGGTCTTTAGAAATCAAGACTCTTTAGGTATGCTTACTGCTATGGGCTATTGATGCCTCCAGGATCTCTCAGTGGGAAGCAGTATGATAGAACAGAGATATATCTATATTCATTTTTCTTTCTGTCTATGTATCTATCTAACTAATGATCTCTAGAGAGAGATAGGTATATGCAGGTATCTACATCTCTGTAAACGATGAGTTCAGAGCAGTACCTCCATTTGAGTTCAAACTCAATACAGTGTTCGTTATCTTTCTTCCATATATTTTTTAAGATTTTATCTTTAAGTAATCTCTACACCCAATGTGGGGCTTGAACTCACAACCGAGATCAAGAGTCACACACTCCACTGACGGAGGCAGCCAGGTGACCCTCTTCTTCCATCTTATATGTATAATTCCCTCATCTGGCAGTAAGAAATCTGGCTCCATAATCCTCAGTATATTTACTTCTTTGCTTAGTTCCTCTGTATGCAAAAAATTCTCTAACCTGCTCCATCCCCATCTAGACAACTACTTTCTGGCTGTCCTTCTTGCTTAGACCTACCTAATGGCTTTTTAAATGAACATTAAGGAGAGGAAGGAAGGGAGAAAGAAGGAAGGAAGGCAGGAAGGGAGGAAGGGAGGAAGGGAGGCAGGAAGGAAGGGGGGATGACGGGAGGGATGGAGGGACAGTATTATCACACTAATCATGAATCAGTAGATGAGTAGGAAATCTGTTGATCAGGGCAGGAAAATATAAAAATCGGATCTACTGGATCAAGAAGATAGTTATTAGGTGAGGCTAGATTATGTTGCAGAAACGAACAACCCTAACATCTTAGCAGTTTTAAATAACAAACATTTATTTCTTGAGCCCACAAAATCCACTGTAGGCTTGAGTGGCTCTGGAAGGTGACTGCTCTTCATGTGGTGGTTCAGCAGAGCAGGCTGCTTTGACCTCATTGTCCCTCTATCTTATAATGCTACCATGTCAACACAAGTCTTGGTCATCTCTGCGGCAGGGGAAGAGAACATAAGATGACCAGCCTGAGGGGCACCTGGTGGCTCAGTTGGTTGATCGCCTGCCTTCAGCTTAGGTCACGATCTCAGGGTCCGGGGATCGAGCCCTGCATCAGGCTCCCTGCTCAGCAGGGAGTCTGCTTCTCCCTTCTCCTCTGTTCCCATCCATGCTTGTGCTCTCTCTCGCTCTCGCTCGCTCTCTCTCTCAAATAAATAAAATCTTAAAAAAAAAAAAAAAAGATGACTGGCCTGAAATATTTCCTCAAGGAAAGGACACACGTCGATTCTGTCCACTATTTATTAAAGAAAGTCACATGACCACTCCAAATTTCAAAGAGGAAACGAGGAGCAATCCTCCCCTCTGCCCGTGAAAAGAGAGCAGAAAATACTGGTACACAAAGAGATAATTGCACAGTTTTCTCCCAACTATTAGGAAAAGTCAGCAATATCAGACTGTTCAGATTCATCTCTTTTTTTGGAAAGAAGATTTATTATCTCCCTGTAGCCATAAATATTTTTGAACCCCAAGATAATTAAGATAAAAGTCACATAGTGACTAAGAAGTCATTTTTAAATGATTTACTTCCAAATTTGTACAGGACTTAAATCTGAATTTAGAGATGCTTCACTTAGTTTCCACTCTGAAAAACTTTTTAGTAACTAAGTCAGCAATTCTCAAACCTGGCTGTGCCTTAGAGTCACCTTGGGAGGTTTAGAAACAAAGTTTGCTGGCCCTTACTCATGGGCATTCAGATCAAATTGGCCCCAGGGTCGAGTCTGGGTAGCACTAGTTTTAGAAACTCCCCAGGTGAGTCCAACCCCAAGCCAGGATTAGAACCCATGCATCCCAGTCCTGACATTATTGTTCTCCATTGCTCCTTCAGCCTGCACACAACCTCCTCAGGAAACCTCCCCAACCCTAGGTCTAGGTTATGTGCTCCTACCTCCCTCTGAATTTTCTCTGTATCCTTCTATTGTACCCTTTATTGCATTGCACTCTATTTGCCTAGATGCTTTGCTGTATCTAACTGTAAGCTCTATAAAGATAAGGACATGTTACTTTCATTTATGGAATGTCCAGCTCCTGGCATGATGTCTAACACATGGTAGGTGCTCAATTAATGCGTGTTGAATACATTAGTAAATTAGTACATAAACTTGCACTTAGAACTTTCTGTGATATTACTTTCTGTTCCAGTATAAAGTTTATAGGTACAGACATTCAGTTAGGGAACCGATTTGTATCCTTTGTGAATGACTGACATTAAGCTTTTATAAAAAGAGCCTGGCCTAACTGCACAATGAACATTTGTAATAAGATATTTGATGTTTATTGTGATTATTTGATCTCATTTGAGGATTAGACATATCCTCAGGAAACTTTTTTTTAGGAGAATCAGAAATGGCTTATCTATTTCCCTAAGCATAGTGAATCAGTAAGGATTTGGCTAAGGCAACAAGTAACAACCATACTGCCTGAAGGATAAAGTATAAACCTATCATTGTTCGGGGACCTTCACAATCTCTCCCCCGCCTGCCTTCCTAACTTCTCCCAGTTGAGTGTGGGTGGAAAGAGTAGTCGTTGCGTTTTGAATCCAGAAACCTCAGAGTTCAATTGCTGTACCAGAATACTCTGAGAATCTTGGGTTGGTTTCTTAATTTCTCTGGGCCTCAATTTCCTCATCTCTAAAATGGGGAGAGAGGACCTCCCATGGCTGATTTGAGGGTTAAGTAAGATACTGCACAAGACTGTGCTTTTACACTGGAAAGCTTTGTCCTTGTAAATGCTGCTTGTTTTTAGCTGCCAAAGAGAGCTACTGATAGATGTCATACTCACCTAGTTCCTCCACTTTGTGCATCCCTTAGCCTACAGGACTCTTTCTTCTCACTTCTGTCTATCCAGACATTATGCTCAGTAATTGTGAGTCTCCTTCCCTTCCCTCTTGAATTGTGATTTCTAACTAAGTCTGGGCAGCGGAACCCAAGCTGTGATGGGGAAAGATGCAATGTGGATTACCGGATTTTCTGTAGCTCTGTAAGTGGAGAAAAATGGGGTAGAAAGGACAGAGTCACGCCCCCACACATTTACTCACTCATTTCAATGTGCCATTTACTTTTAATTCTTCTCATAGTACTTCAAAGCATATTTTGTAAAATTAATAAAGTCTGAGTAATTCAAAACCTCTTCCAGTTAGCCTACCAATACATCTTTGCGGAGAAATGCAGTAAGTGGAATTCTGTGAGAATGATTTGATCTATGGTTCAGGGGCAGAAGGATTACTGAGGAATTTTATATGTTCTTTGAGTGCCTTTCTATTTCAGGAGAAAAATAAGACAAATTCCATTTCACAGAAGCAAGAGGAGTTATACCAGAGGATTGCTTATATAGCAAAGAAGTGAATTTTTACTCTAAACCACATTGGTTATGTTCATAAATACTAAATACAGAATGCAAACAATTGAGAAAGCAAAAACATTTGTGATTGAACTCTAAGAAACTGATGCAGACACGTGATTGAAAATATTTCAACTGTGTGAAGGCCTATATTAATTTTTGCATGATTACATTTGTTTCCAGAGTTCCCTGTTGAGATTAGAGACTTATACCAGCATAACGTTATGGAATACTGGCTCTGCACGAGGCTCTCTGACGAAAGGTTTCAAGATTAAACCAGTTTGGTAAACCATGCATGCTCTTGTTCCCCTCTTGGAGATTCACAATGCATGTCTGCCTATTAAAACTCTGAGCACTCCAACAGTAAAGGTCCTGTTGAATTTTGTTTAACTCCATCATTCCCAAATTTCTTGGACTGTGAAATCTTCTGAAAGGTAATCATTATCACACATTACTACTAGTGTCCTCTGGGGTACCCTCTGGGAAACTCTGAATTACCTTCATGGAATAAATATATTCACTTGCCCAGCTAATGCCCAGAGTGTCCTTTCCAGAATGGAGTTGCAACAGGAATTATGTAAATTTTTGCAGAAAGCATAATGGAACATAGGTAAATGTTTACATAGAGCATAAAGCAACTAGCCATAAAGGGTTTGTTGTGGGGCGCCTGGGTGGCTCAGATAGTTAAGCGTCTGCCTTCAGCTCAGGTCATGATCCCAGGACTGAGCCCCACATCGAGTCCCACATCGGGGTCCTGGCTCAGCGGGGAGCCTGCTTCTCCCTCTCCCTCTGCCTCTCCCCCTGCTCATGCTCTCTCTCTCTGTGTCTCGAATGAATAAATAAAAAATCTTAAAAAAAAAAAAGGGTTTGTTGTGGTGGTGGGCTTTTTCAGTAATAGCTTTACTGAGATATAATTCGCACACACAGTTCACGCTTCTAAAGTGTGCAGTTCAGTGCTTTGTGGATATTCAGAGTTGCGCAACCATCGCCATAGTTGATCTTAGAATATATTCATTACTTCACATCCTTCAGGACTTCATTATTTCATGTCCTTTGGCTGTCACTCCCTAGTCTCCTTCCCCTCACCTCAGCCCTAAGTAACCACAAATGCACTGCCTAGTTCTAGAGATTTGTCTCTTTATATAAATGGAATCTCATAATCTGTGGCTTTTGTACTGGTTTCTTTCGCTCGGCATAATGTTTTTGAGGTTCGTCCATGTTGTGGCGTGTGTCAGCCCTTGATTACTTCAGTAATAAGCGAAGTCATGAAGATTGACAGAAGACCAGGAACAGAAGAAAGTCAATGAAGGGGAGGATTGGTGAGTTGTCATGCTGAGAACCACCTGCTTTCTACTGTGGGTGCCACAAGGAGCAAGCATCCTGGCTAGGTTAGAAAATGCCCTGCTGGGGGAAGGAGCGCCATTATTCTTGTCTTTCTTCCCGATCGTCTCATGCTTTGGGCCCCAAATCTTTTCACACATATTGAATTTACCTTCTCTGCGACATCTGCTTCCTGAAAATTTTATGTGGATCAACATGGATGCTGTGCTTTGATATGCTGGGTTTGAGGCTTGCACCTATTTCTCAAAATGAGTATCTCAAGTCAGAGATGCTCGTACTTGTTTCCTGCTTATACCCTGACTTTAGGAGGGAATTTCCAGGGGGACTTGCATGGAGCTTCAGTTAATCCTTTAAAAATGTAGAAATAGTCAGGAGAAATAATGCTGCTTCTCTCCTGAGACAGCTGCGAGAGTCACTATAGGGATGTTTTATTTTGCAAAGTGTCTCACAGCAATTTTCAGTAATTAGCTCATAAGAGCTCTGGGGGCAAGAAGAGTTCTTTTTCTTAACAGAGCAGGTGAAGTAGGACCTGGGCTCAGATTTAACCACCCCTTCATACTGTCCCCAAGAAGAGAAAATATGAAAGAAAAAAAAGGGGGTGGGGATTTTAATCTTCCCTGAGCACCTGGGATTTAGGTAGATTTTATGCAGGTTACTTCTATTTTCCCATATTTGTGACTGTCACTTGCATCTCATTGCCTGCTACTTATTACTGATGGTTGAGCATAACGGCCCTTCTTTTAGTTTGTAGAGTTCAAGGACCCAAATAACTATAGAGGAGGTGTTTTGGAGGTTGTTCTGGCACAGACCTAATGTAGGTCTGACTGGTCACTCCACTGTAATGGTCTATACTTAGTCTGGGTTATGTTCAGGGGAGTATTGATTCTGAGGCACTGGGGCCATGGAACTTAGTATAGTTGTATTCATTCATTCAGCCAATAGTCCTTCAATGCTTACAGTAGTTTCTAGACAATAGAGAAGATAGCACCTGCTCTCGTGGAATGTATCATCCTGCTCAGGTTCTAATAAATCATAGTTGTCTCTGGGATGCCTGGGTGGCTCAGTCGGTTAAGCCTCTGTCTTCAGCTCAGGTCACGATCCCGGGATCCTGGGATCAAGCCCTGCGAGCCGGCAGCCTGCTTCTCCCTCTCCCACTCCCCCTGCTTGTGCTCTCTCTCTCTCTCTCTCTCTCTCTCTCTGCCAAATAAATAAATAAAATCTTTTTAAAAAATCATAGTTGTCTCATGTCTCTTGTGGATTCCATGAAATAACACAGGATGTCTCAAGTTAGCTCATTTCTGACCTGAGCTCTCTAAAGAGACCCCGAAGGAGCAGGACGACGCATTTACATGGTATGTACCAGCCACTCCTCTGTACGCTTTCCATGCCTCATCTGCTTTCGTCTTCCTAGCAAGCCTGCAGGTAGGGCTTTGTTAGGACCCTTTGACCAAACAAGCTGAGGCTCAGCAAGGTTTATTAAGAGAACCAGGATTGACTCTAAGACTCTCTGACTCCAGATTCCCATTCTTTGTCAATAAATCAGTGCTACTCTAAAAGACTGTGAAACTTTGGCATTGATCACAAGTTCGGGGGATGCCCAAAGGAATACTAACAGGTGACAACAAAGAGTGTGCCAAATTCAGCAATACTGACAGAGGGATTTTTGTGCCTTGAATCCTGTGGTGTGCTGGAAAGTGTGTGGGCTTTCACAAATCAGTGAGGATTAGATTAGTCTCAGTAATTGAAATTCCAAAAATAGTGGCTTAAAAATTAAAACTATATTTACTTTTCATGTAAAAGGCTGATAAAGCCCTTTGGTCTTCAAGGTAAGGGACCCTTTCAGCTTTCCGCTTCTTTTGCCTCCATGTCCAGTATGGGCCAGAGGCTCCAGATGTCACTAGGATAATCAGTCATCAGCATGAAAGAAGGGCTAAAAAAGGATTGGCCCCTTCCCTGTGGGAAGACGGATTAGCAGTTCTGCATAATATATTCTCTTTCATCTCACTGGTCAGAACTTAGTCACATGGCCAACTGCTGCAAGGGAGAGTGGGAAATGTGGTCTTTTAGCTGGATGACAGTGTGCCCAAATGTGAATTAAGGTTCTGTTACCAAGGAGTTTGAGTATCAGAAGATAACTAGCACTCCTTGTTCTAATATATTCTATCCTTCTTTATTATATGATAGAATCTTAGCTATAACCTATTAACTGAATTGATTACAGTTTTTCATTCATTCAACAAATACAATTTGATGCCTACTGTATGCCAGGCATTGTGTTAAGTGCTAGGGATACAAAGACCAATAAGACACAATTTGAACTGGACTTCATTAGGATAAAAAATTCTGTGCATTAAAGAACACAGTTATGAAAGTAATTCCCAAGGAAAGGGAAATTTATTTTTTGCAAATAATAACCTGATAAAGGAATAGTATCAAAAATATACATATCAAACTCTTACAACTCACTAATTAAGAGACAAATAACCCAATTAAAATGGGGGCAGGGGGCACGCCTCGGTGGCTCATTTGGTTGATTGACTACCTTCGGCTCAGGTCATGATCCTGGAGTGCCGGGATCAAGTCCCACATCGGGCTCCCTGCTCAGCGGGGAGTCTGCTTCTCCCTCTGACCCTCCCCTCTCTCATGCTCTCTCCCTCTCTCTCAAATAAATAAATAATCTTAAAAAAAAAAAAGTTGGGCAGGGGATCTGAATAGACATTTTTCCAAAGAAGTTATACGAGGGGCGCCTGGGTAGCTCAGTTGGTTAAGCATCCAACTCTTGATTTCCACTTGGGTCATGATCTCAGGATTGTGAGATTGAGCCCTGTGTCGGGCTCCATGCTCAGCACTGCTTGAGAAGATTTCTCTCCCTCTGCCCCCCTCCCTGCTCATGGTGATATCTACACAATTCTGAATATACTAAAAGTGACTGAATTGTACTTAAATGGGTGAATTGTATATGTATTATGTATCAATAAAGCTGTTTAAAAAAGGCACAATTTGTGTTCCATCATGAAGGATCCTGTATACCAGTGCGTAGGAGTTTGGTGTCACAGTGGAGAAGAAATAGAACAGCGATTCTCAAACTGTGCGCTGGACCAGCAGCATCAGCCTCATCTGGGAACTTGTTAGAAATACAAATTCTCAGGGTTTATTCCATAACTGCTGAATCAGAAACACTGGAGAGGAGGCCCAGCAATCTGTGTTTGAACAAGCATGTTAGGTGACTCCCATGCAGGCTCACTGAGAGTCTTGGGTTAGAACTTGAGAGTCACTGGATTAGAGAATTTGAGAGAACTAAGGGAAAGCGTTTAGGATGCTATTTCAATAATCCAGGTCAGAAATGATGGTGGGCTTTGGTGGCCTGAAGTAAGGTAATAGAAATGGGATAAAGAGGGGCACCTGGCTGGCTCAGTCAGTAGAATATGTGACGCTTGATCTCGGGGTTGTAGTTCGAGCCCCACGTTGGGTGTACAGATTACTTAAAAATAAAATCTTTGAAAAAAGGAGATGGGATAAAGAGATGGATGAGGATTGGGGCACCTGGCTAACTCAGTCGGTAGAGCATGTGAATCTTGATCTGAGGGTTGTGAGTTCAAGCCCCACGTTGGGTGTAGAGCTTACTTGAACAAAAAGAGATGCGTGAGGATTGATTGGATGGGGGAGGGGAGTAAAAGCAACTCCCTCCCCTACCTCAAAGGATCCTGCTCTTGAATTTATTTTTATTAGGTGTATCTGGAAGCACTACTAAGAGGGTTCTAATATATTTTCCTATTAAAGTAGCAAGTCAGGAAAATATGGTGAAAGTTGGTGAAAAATAACTCAAAAGTATATCTAAATAATGAAAGTACTCTATGAAAAGAACTAAAGAACTCATTAAATTTTTGGAAGAGGGGAGAAAAAGAATAATAAACATGAATTAAGTCTCCATCTTTGGGGTACCTGGGCGGCTTAGTTGGTTGAGCATGGACTCTTGATCTCAGCTCAGGTCTCGATCTCATGGATGTGACTTCAAGCCCCCA